GTAGGAGCCCTTCCATGTGGGCTGGAGTTGAGCCTTTGCGGACCCATCTTTCCAGACTTTAATTAGGACTTGAGTCCCTGGAGCATATAGTGGTAGCTCTTTAGAATCTTTTGGGTCCTAGTTGACACCCGCAAGTGTATATTTCATTGGAGTTGCCCAATGGCCATAGTATAAGACTGGAGGGTCTGAGCCTCTAGATCTAGGAAGAGGTCATTGGCATAAACAAAAGGTCTCCTATATACCATTTCATAAGGACTAAAACCAACTTGTTCCTTAGGGGCAATATGGATGCAGAGGAGAGCTATTGGTAAAGCCTCCTTCTATCCCAGGGAGGTCTCCTGGGTTATCTTTTTTATCGCTGATTTTAAGAATTGGTTGCCTCTTTCTACTTTTCCTAAAGACTGAGGCCTCCTGGCACAATGGAGGTAATAAGTAATGCCCAATGCTTTAGAGACCCCTTGGGTGACCTTAGAAGAAAATGGTGTCCTGTTGTCACTTTGTAATGACCTGCACAGATCAAATCTCAGAATGATTTCATGGAGCAGTTTGTGGCGGTTTTTGTTTGTTTGTTTGTTTTTTACCACCTCCTCAACCTTCTCAGGCTGGGTGGGAAAGCCTTCGATCCATCCTGTGACTGTATCTATCATAACTAATAGGTATTTATGCCCTTGAGAAACTGACATCTGGGTGAAGTCCATCTGCCAGTCTTCTCCTGAGTAGATCCCACCCCATTGGATGGGCTGGGCCAGCTGGGGTCTTCAAGCTCCTTGGGGATTGTTTAATTGGCAAGTAGGACAAGAGGAAACCACTTGCCTTATAGTCGTTTGCAGGCCTGTTCCTCTGAAGGACCTTTCTAGTAATCTTTGGAGGGCCTTCTCCCCTAAATGAGTGGTGGCATGTAAGGAGTTAACCAACTTCCACTGGAGGTTCCCACGCAGAAAAAGGAGTCCCTCCTTTTGGAACCACCCCATTTGATCTTCTTGAAAGCCCTCACTCTTAGCTTTAAGAGTATCACCTTCAGTATATGAAGGAGTTTCTGGCAAATTAATCTGTGAAACTAAGGTGGCAATCCCTATGAGGTCATTGTTCTGTAATGCTGCTCTCTTAGCTGTCTGATCAGCTGCTTGGTTCCTTGTGCCACCTCTGTGCTCCCGTTTTGGTGTCCTTTTCAATGAGAGACTGAAACCTCAGTGGGCAGATGAACTGCCTCCAAGAGCCTAAGGATTTGATCACCATATTTGATTGCGGACCCTTGGGTGGTCAAGTGGCCCCTTTCTTTCCAAATAGCAGCATGTGCATGAAGCACCAGAAAGGCATACTTGGATTCAGTGTAAATGGCTATTCCTTTTCCTTTTCCCAGCTCTAAAGCTTAAGTAAGGGCTATGAGCTCAGCCAATTGGGCTGAAGTACCTGGTGGCAAAAGTTGGCCTCTATGATCTCGAAATTGGAGACTACTGCATATCCACTCTTCTTTTTCCATCTAAAACAAAGCTGCTTCCATCAGCGTACCAGATTTCCTCAGGATTGGTCAAAGGGTCTTCTGACAATCCCTCTCTGGGTTTTGTCCAGTGGTCCAAGGTTTCTTAACTGCAGGTCTTCTGGAATCTGAGACTGAGTCACGTGAGCTTTCTGCCCAGTTTGTTTTTGCTGTCCCAGTTTCCAGCCTTCTGGGCTTCTTGTTACTTCCACTGCACTAGGTTTTCTTCGTGCTCAGCTTCCGCTGCGGGAGGTTTCACCAAATTGGGCTTCTGCTGTGCTTGGCCTCTGCTTCACAGAAGCTGAGCCAAGGTTGTTTCAGACAGATTAAAGCCGAGAAATGGCACCATATATGTCGGAGGAGTGGGTAATTTCCTTGATTCTGTCTCGCCACAGCAAAGATTTGAAATGGCAGACCAGTTTTACAGCTGGGTTATGGCTCAGTTTTACTAGGAAAAACTCAAGACACAAGCGGGCAAGGCAATGGCACCCCACTCCAGTACTCTTGCCTGGAAAACCCTATAGTCGGAGGAGCCTGAAAAGCTGTGGTCCATGGGGTCTCTGAGGGTTGGACAGGACTGAGTGACTTCTCTTTCACTTTTCACTTTCATGCATTGGAGAAGGAGATCCCAGGGACTGGGGAGCATGGTGGGCTGCCATCTATGGGGTCGCACAGAGTCGGAAACGACTGAAGTGACTTAGCAGCAGCAGCCAGGCACAAGGGCAGGCTGACGCCAAAGGAGAGGCTGAAAACTACTTTTAAGTGGAATGAATGAAACACCTCCAGGTCACTGTGAACTTATAGGCCTCTGATTTTTACTATTATTCAAAAGTATAATCTCTTAACAACAATAACAAAAGTATACCAATATAATAAATCTTGTACCCACATAATCAGTCAATAGCATATACAACCCTGCCTCCCATAATGAACATTTTAAAGAATATAAATTAAGCTCAAATAGCTGACTCTTCATGGAAAGAGTCAAATAACCATTGGTCTGAACAGTAGCTTGTTGTCAAATCCTAATCGGCAGTGGATTGAGGTTTGGTTTTCTGTCTCTTGCAGCAGGATGTAAAAGAACCATTTTCTCCTCCTCACAACCAGGATCATCCATCCCACCAGATAGCAGAAGGTACTCCTTACAGGGTAGCCCTATCTCAGGCAGGGCCCTGCATAGGAAGAGATGGGGCCAGGGATCAAACCCCGAGATCAAGAGTGTATCAAATTTTTTCTTTGCTGGATAATATGTACATGCATAATATGGTAAAAAATGGCTTCCCTCATGTTACTGAGAAACTCTCTTTGTACTTCTTTAATGAAAGTGGGGAGGTGTTTTTCACAGTTGGTGCTGATGAATGACTCTTGGGAAGTATCCAATAAACTGTCGACTGAAAAAAATTGCACAACATAAAAGTTGAGAATTATATTTTATTCAGAGAACATTCTGAGCACTTCAAGCTTGAGAAATAATATCTCAAATAACTCTGAGAAACTTCTCCCAAGAAGCAAGGTGAGGAGCCAGTATATACAGGAGTTTTTGCAACAAATATCAGGTAATGGGAACATCAAAAGATAACTATTAATTAAAGAAAAACAGCTATCTCAAGCTAATGAAATTTAGCACTTTCCTATATATGGGAAGATGCAACAGTCGGGGCTCACTGAAACCACTCCTTTGATATGTGCTTCAGCTACCTGGGGCCAGAACCCTACTTCTCTCCATCCTGGGTCCTCTCAGGGTACCCCATGGGACTGCTGCAGTGGCTGAAGGCTTGGCAGCTGGCAGTCCATTTTTCTCCATCCTGAGTTCCCTCAGGGCTCACCATCAGGGTGACTGTATTGTGATGGCTTGGTGGCTGCAGCATCCTTTGTTTGCTGATATGACAGGCAATATTTTTCATTCACAAAACGATGTTTCTGTTTGAAATCTGAGAGTACTTGTAAGCTCCAATTGACCTATTAAATGTGAGTGATGGATATCTCCAGTTGAGAACTACTGTAGGATCTTGGGTTATCTGTAACTTGGTCCTCTAAGGCTTCACAGAATATAAGTGGTGTTGGGTATTCTCTTTTGGGACAGATGTGGAAGAGGTGAACTTTAGTGGTTGGGGTACTAGCAGAGAGCAGAGTACCCTGTTGGCATTCCCAGAGTTTCCTTCAAAAGGCTGAACTCTTCACACAGAAGCTCTTTGCATGGGCATGGGATAAGGGAGTCAACCAAGGATGCTGTGGCAGCTGCAGAAAGTCATCACCATCCCTTGATCTGAAGGTCAGGTCCGTGTCACCAGATCCTGGTGGCAGCTCCCTCTATGGAATGGAGTTGCTAACAGACTGTGTAGAGAGGTGCAAAGACACTGCCCATGTCCTTCTGATCTCCTGCCAAGTCCCTCCTCAGGCTTCCTCCCTCCTCTGACACCCAGAGGTCCAGGGAACCCAGGAATCCATAGAGGCCAGTCAGTCTCCTAGGGTACAGAGTGGGGCAGAGAGTGAGAGAGAAATGAGAGTTATTATCTCAGAAGGATGGGGAAATCTTCACTCCTGGAACACTAGAGACTAGGGCTTTTTCAACCTCTAATATAGAGTTCCCCAATCCCCAGGCCATGAACTGGTACCAGTCCATGGCATGTAAAGAACTGAGCCACACAGCAGGAGGTGAATGGGAGGTAAGTGAGCAAAGTTTCATCTATACTTACTCCCACTCTCCATTGCTCACATCCCCCTAGATGGGACTGTCTAATTGCAGGAAAAGAAGCTCAGGGCTCCCACTGATTCTGCATTATAGTGAGCTGTATGTTTATTTCATCATATATCACAATATAATAATAATAATAATAGAAGTAGAATGCACAGTAAATGTAATGTATCTGAATCATCCCCAAACCCCCTCCCCCTTACCCTGGTCTGTGGAAAAATTGTCTTCCAGGAAACCGGTCCCTGGTGACAGAGTGGGGACCACTGCTCTAATCCTCTAGCCCTCACTGGTTGATGAGGGGACTGAGACAGAGGGATTGAACTACTGAGTCAACATGTGTAAATCCAATAAGAGGCACACTTGAGACCACAGGGTTTCATATGACACTGGGATTCATATGACTAACGCTAGAATAGGGTTGGCTAAAAGGGACATCTATGAGGTTATTTGCCCAACTGTGCCCCTAAGACATCAGGAATTGAGTGCAGATTTTTTTCCTCCTGAGCCAAAACATGCCCTCAGACTTTTTCCTGAGGTTCCAGGTGGCCACTAATAATCAATCCGTCTTCTTGTCCTATTACTTAACAATACAAGGTGCTCTAAAACCCTTAGACATAAAGCTCAGATTATTCTGTGATTTTCCTCCTTGAACCATGACTCATTCCAGAAGGTATATCCTTGAAGATGTCCAGACTGCTCACCCTGGTGACTTGGTGGAGGGCACTGACAGTTTGGAAGGAGACAGAGCACCATCAAATGAAGCTTCCTGAAAGATAACGATACAAGGCCTTGATCCCCTGATGGGGTTTCTCTTCCTCTGTCCCGCAGGTTGACAGAACAGAGGTGATTCGCACCTGCATCAACCCAGTCTATTCAAAACTGTTCACAGTGGACTTTTACTTCGAGGAGGTGCAGCGCCTGCGGTTTGAGGTCCATGACATCAGCAGCACCCACAATGGGCTGAAGGAGGCCGACTTTCTGGGCAGCATGGAGTGCACGCTTGGCCAGGTGGGTCCGTGACACCCTCCCTCCCCTTTAGCCTTCTGAGGGCCTTTCACCCTCCTTTTTTCCACTCTCCCTTCATTCAGTCTTTGCTTTCTTTCTCCTGTTGATTTATTTCCTTTAACAGGTAGCATTGTGTGACAGGCACTGCCATGTCCATTATATTCATTGTTACACTTTCATGTGGATGATGGTTGCAGATATGTCAGGTGTCACTTATTTTGCAAAGTTAATCATTTTTGTTTCTGAATTCCTTCATTCTGTCAATCATTTATTTAACAGCTATTTATGGAGCACCTGCTCTGCTCCAGTTGTATGTCTGCTATTGCCTTATCCTGATACATCATAATCTTCCATCTCCCAGCTCAACTATGTGAACCATTACACACGGAGTATCGCTCGGTCACAGCTATCCCAAGCCTCTGGTGCCAAAAGCAGCCCAAGAGAGGGCTAAGTAGATACATGGTAAATGAATAAATGCTTTACTTAATCTTCACAACAATGTTGGGAAATAAACATTCATTTGTCAGAGAGAATCAGAAGTAATTGATTTGCCAGAGACCCCACACTAACAAGGGCAGAGTTACACCCAAGTGGGCCTTACCCCAAACCCCATGATCTTGCCTTTGGAACACCTTTCCTTCTTCCCTTCCTTCCTGCTGTACCCAGAACTTGAATAAGTGCTGAGGTGGGATCTAAATGGAAATAGTCCCTGTGCTCAAGACTAATTGGAGAAGGCACAGTGTGTGCCCCTCAAACAGAGCCACTCATGATGTGCTCTAAGCTCTCATGAGACAACTCATCCTGGGAGCTATATACAGTTATGGGCCTGCAGGGAAGGGAGAGCTTTCTGCTGGGGAGAATGACAAAAGGCATTGTGGAGCCAAACTTTGAAAAAATATGGTCCAGGGATTGAAGAAGGAGGAGGGATGTCTTCAGGTAAAAAGGCAATGCAAACAAGGCATAGAAGTCAGAGCAACCATGCAGAGCTAAGGGTTGAGAGGACCAGCCACCCTTAATCAAGGTCAGAGGCTGATTTACTGGGAAACTAGTGCAGCTTAAAATTCAGAGAACTTCAGTTATGAAGACACTTCCAGAGTTCTATATCACGTTTTTATTTGTAGTGTTGTACTTTTTCCACAAAGAAAGATTCCAAATTATATAAGCCTCAATCCTCACAAGACCTGCATTAATCCCATGTAGAGGTAAGGATCTTGTTTAGGGATTAGTAAGAAAGAGTTTAAATTGTTTTAAAACTCAACATTCAGAAAACTAAGATCATGGCATCCACCCCCATCACTTCATGGCAAATAGATGGGGAAACAATGGAAACAGTGATAGACTTTATTTGGGGAGGGGCTCCAGTATCACTGCAGATGGTGACTGCAGCCATGAGATTAAAAGAAACTTGCTCCTTGGAAGAAAATTTATGACCAACCTAGACAGCATATTAAAAAGCAGAGACATTACTATGCCAACAAAGGTCCATCTAGTCAAAGCTATGGTTTTTCCATTGGCCATGTATGGATGTGAGGGTTGGACTATAAAGCTGCACTCCTGTTCCTGCCTCACTTCTCTACTCCACTGTGGTGCTTCCTTCACTTCCTTTGACTTTCAGTCTCAGAGTCAGTTTTTTGGTAAATCCAAATGAAGATACTCCACAACATATGCCAAACTCCTTCCTGAATCCAGAGACTGTATGCAGTGTTCCCATCTGCTCAGAATGTACTTCCTTTCCCTGCTCACACTCATGCTCCCTTCCCAATTTCAGTGGAAATGTCACTTCTTTCTGGAAGCCTTCTCTGAGCTCTTGTCTACTTGATACCATCTCATCAATGTTTGCTTCCTCTTCTGTGCTTCTCCCTAAGAATGGTTGTGATTTATTTGTGTAATTATTTGCTTTACATCTTTATCCCCAACTAGTTGTGAGCTGTTTGAAGGCAAAGACAATGTCACTGTTCCCTGTCACACTGCCTGGCATGAGGTAGAGGGTCAAGGACTGGTTGGACATGGGAAGATAAGCCTTACAAAAGAGGTAATTTTGAGGATCATTCACACAGACAAAATTGTGAAAGCTTTGGATAAACAAGATCTTTTATTCACATGACTTAGTGGATCTACATTTACTTCTTGGGACAGCATATAACTTTTATGCATAGGTGGGATGCTCATTGCTAAGTGAGAATCTTAAAATGGTTCCTTTATATCTGCAAAATGCCATTTTAATCACCTTTTAAGTTTATTTATTATTTATTTAAGTTTACTTAAGTTGGAAGGACTGATGTTGAAGCTGAAACTCCAATACTTTGGCCACCTGATGAGAAGAGCTGACTCATTGGAAAAGACTCTGGTGCTGGGAAAGATTGAGGGCAGGAAGAGAAGGGGATGACAGAGGATGAGATGGTTGGTTGGCATCACTGACTCAATGGACATGGGTTTGGATGGACTCCGGGAGTTGGTGATGGACGAGGAGGTCTGGCGTGCTGCGGTTCACGGGGTCGCAAAGAGTCAGACACGACTGAGTGACTGAACTGAACTGAACTGAACTGGTTTATTTATACATTACAGAATTTCACCTCAAATCCACTATTCATTCATTCATTCATTGCCTACTTACAGTGCACTGTACCTATCAAGAACTATGTGCTCTTGACTCTTTCCAAAAGTAACGAGAGAGATATACAATGATGATTATATAATATATGATGGAGAATATCCCCAGAACCCACCTTCTTGTAGACTTCTCAGGAGGGCATAAGGTGTCCTGCTGTCAAAGCCCTTTGGGATGAGATTTCCCATTACTCAAGTGAGAAGCATCAGGGTTGATATGGAGAAATGGCCAGATGGCCTTGAGTGGGAGAAAGAGAGAAACTGAGGGGTTCATTGACGCAATCTTCTTAATCTGTCGAGATGAGAAATATGTAGACCTGAGCACTTAAGGTGAATTACCAATAGTCCTTCCTAAGTATACTTTGATGCTTTTGAAAGGGCTTTCAAACTGATCCTTTCTCTTGGCTTTTTAAAAATTTCTTTCCTTTAGAAGTATAGTTGAGTTACAATGTTGTGTTAATCTCTGCTGTACATAAAGGGACTCAGCTGTACATGTATATACATTCTTTTTCATATTCTTTTCCATTCTGGTTTATCACAAGATGTTGAATATAATTCCCTGTGATATACAATAGGACCTTGTTCTTTATCTATCTTATATATGCTAGTTTGCATCTGAGTTGGGAAAACTAAGAATCAGAAAGATTCCATGCCTTGACAGAGCCAAGACCAGAAGTCAAGAGCTCTTTATCTTTAATTCAGAGCTCTTCTGCCATGATTTAGGAAAAGGATAATGCAGGGAGGCTGCATGTTGTGAGAAATTTTGTTGACATGGTGGCTTAGGAGGAAAAAAAGACATGAGCAGCAAGTCAGCCATGCTTCCTGAGTCATACTACTGCACCCCCCTGGTGATTTTCTGGCCTGACTGGGTATCCTGTATATTTTTAAACAACCACCCTCTCATAATATCAGCCATGTGATTGGTGCTATTGACCTGGCCCACACTTTGTGATGCCACTGACTTAAACCAATCAGAATGTCTCAATTTTGTGGCAGCAGTGATTGATTCAGGGAAGCTATGTAACTCATCAGGCATAATGAGATGTAAATATATATTGGCTGGAGCCTTATAGGAAAGAAAAGGTAGGGTTGTGAGGTGGAAATGGACCCTGCAAAAGAAAAACATGGGTGCTATTGGAGAAAAAGAGAGAAACTGAATGGTGTTCTTTGCACCCTAGATAGAGTCTATCTGAAGCCAGCTTGTCCTCAAAATTTCAACCATTATCTTCTCTTTGCTGTTTGAACTACTATAGGCTAATTCATTTTGCTGCTTGCAAAGTGAAGTCTAACATATTGAATTATATTCCACAGAACCCCTCTCCTAGACCATAGTGATCTCTTTAAACTCTAAACTCCTATAAGCCAACTTTATTTCATTCATGAAAATCATTCTACATTGCACTGAGAAGTTCCTTTTTATCAGTTCATCAAAATAATTTCTCTCTTAATTAGCACTTATTGTTATAGTTACCTGGTCCGTCCCGAGATTACAAGTTTTTAGAGCCGGAGGCCACAGGCCACATTCAGCACTTCTTTGGGTCTAAAGCAATATCATGCTTTATATATCATGTGCTCAAGTCAAATTTATTGATCAGTTAATTTTGAAAATTTCAGATCAGTATGAACTTATACTTTGACATGATAAATTTAATTCTTTTATGTATTCATTTTTTTCAGCAAATATTTAGGAAGGACCCCAGGCATAAAAAATACCATGCTAGGTGCTACAGGCACAAAGATGAAAAAGACAGGGGCCCTGCTCCAGAAGAGCTTATGATTAGCTAGGAGATACAGACTAATAAAGAAATCATCCAAATGCATATTACTAAGTGCTACATAATGATCTGTGTTTCAAGGGCTCTGAGGGAAAGACTTACCTGTGCCTAAAGGCAATTGAGGAGGTCTTACAAGAAAATTGTCTCACTCTGGACCTGAGTCTCAAAAGAGTGAGTAGGGATTCACCAGCAGAGAAAAGAAATAAGGACTCTCTGTGCAAAATGACTGGGATGCATCAATGCACAGCAGTATGAGAATGTCAGAGAACTCTGAGTGAATCAGCTTGGTGGGATGGGCAAGTGAGTTGGGGAAGGGATAAAGGAGGCCAGACAGGAGAGGGTGAGCTGAGCTGACCACATGCTTTTATGAGCCTTTCATTAAAGTTTGGAGAGCTTGGACTGGATGCACAAAAGGCCCTGAGGACTTTTAATGAGGGGAGGGCCAGGACTGAATGTGTGTACTGGAAAGATCACGTTGGTATTCCTGTAAATGGTGGATGGGAGAGGACAGATGTGGAGGCAGATAAACAAGTTAGAAGGCTGTTAAAACAATAAAGAAGAGTTGGGGAGGAAAGTCATGATGAAAGTTGAGAAGAGGAGGTGCAGAGGGGAATGTGTCTG